ATAAGAAGCATCTGATACTAGTGTATGAAATATATCAATTTGGTAGATAGGCAAGCTTGTGCTCTATGTTTTCTGAACCAAAATGTGCTGTAAAATCGATGAAAATTTGCATAAAAGTGAGAAAATTCGAAATTTACATATTTTCTGACCTTCCTGTGACCTCTGTGTATCCCATAACTTAGAAACAATACTCATTTTGTGGCAGGAATGACAACAGGTTTTTAATTGATAAACTGTTGTATCATTCTAAAAGACACCCCAAACCAGGGGCCAAAAAGGGGTCTTAACCTATCTTGTCGTTTATAAAGTTTAATGTATTAAAATTAATTTTAGTTGGCAAATATTTCTTATTGGAAAACCCGAATAGATTTTTTTTAAATGATTGTTTCCATACCATAAAAGCAACACCCATTGCTGATCTGCATCCATTTTTTTAAGAATTTTTCATTTGTTTTGCCATCTTCTAGGACCTACAGACAGAACATAAAATTAGCTGCACTCATTCTTAGTTCTATTCCTAGGAAAATTGTTTAAGTCCTAATTAAAGGAACCAGGGCCTCAAAAATCTTTTAACACTTCAGACAAATATATCAAAGTTGCAAGCCATAAATTCAAAAGACGTCCATGGCTGATATGTTATATGATCTATTTCTTTCATTGTTCAAACATTTAAATCTTTAAAAATATATATTAATTCAGTGTACCTCAAACTTCATCGGCAATAAAGAAGCAGTCTCAAAATCAAATGAGTTTGAAAAAAAAATTCTGAAGAAAAAGTACGTGATATAAATTTAAATTTAAAAAAATAGAATAATACTCACCTAAGACTTCAATCATATATGACCTAGATTATTTGCTCATTCCTAAAATATAATTAATAAATAACCAAGCGCATCTTGTGTAAGAAAAAAATGAAACTTCATAGTAAGACATGTGCATTCAAAAATCTTGATTCTAAATTCTATAGCTTCGTTCATGCAAATTGAAGGTCAAAACTAAACAGCACTTCTTATTCCATGGCGCATACCTACATTCGTTGAATTTCAATTTTTTTCTCAACTTCTTTTACCAGTTATCTTGTTCCTGACTGGACAATTTCTAAAAGAACAGCCAGGTTCTGGCCGAAGAGGAATATATCAACTAAATGAAAATTAGATCAAACAAATACTGTCTAATCAAATATTGATTAAAGTAGGTCAAAAATGGTTAATTGAAGACTAGCTGTTAGAAAGTTAGTTCTTCCTCTTTGAACAGATTCGATATCGATCTTAGTCCAGTTGTCCCGACTGGCTTTGATTCACTTGAATTCTCAAAAATAGCACACTGTAATATTACTTCCAGCATAAATCCTGGTGTAAGGACCCAAACTAAACACTTATTTGCAAGTGTTTACAATCAAAGTCATGTTTCTATCATTTAACAATGTATGTCCACAGGCGCTTGACGTTTTTAATCTTTCTTTCCATAAATAAAAAATCCCCCATACTATAATGATAATTGTTATTTTATAATAATTTTTTATTTATGGAAAGAAAGGTTAAAAACGTCAAGCGCTTGTGTGTATGTCAATGAAAAATATATCTTACATTAACGTTCTTCATTAAAAGGAAAAGATGACATTAATAGTGGACATACCTTACATTCGAAGAGAAACAGGATCGTGCAGTTTCATCACATCAAATTAAGAAGTTTTCAGCTTTTTCAAACATAACAAAAATAGTGAAAATTTTTCAGTAAAATGGGAAAGTTCGACAAGAACTGAGATATATACTTCCTGGTGTAGATAGGGTACTTCACACAAGAGTCACTTTTTAATGTTGCAGCTAGAAAAAAAAAATTAAAAAGTACGTGACTTTGGTTCATCGTTAAAATGAGATGAATAAGGGACACAATAAATGTAAAAACTTAGATCATTGCACTCAGAGTTCACTTTAAATAAATAAAGACATACACTTCGTGACTGTAATACTTTGCAGTAAGGCGTTAATATGTAAATGTGAATATTTATAGTCAAAACAAGTGTTTGATACGTGGTAATAGTACCGTCAACCTAGAAATACCCTGACCTGGAACATATTGCAACTATTTTAATTGAAAAAGCTTATTCAATATCTATGAGTGTGGAAAGTCGCCTGGAATCCAATGTGTAATTTTGGCAATATTTGGGTAAAATCAGATGATTTGATGAAAAATCGCTAAGAACTGGAAAAAATATTTTATTTCTTATTTCGTTTTAAATGCGTTACATTTTTGCAAATAATTTGCAAGACATTCAACAGACCAGCATTTAATACAAGTGTTACATTAAAAGTTTAGACTTTATCAAGTTAAACTCATCTATAGCAGTCTAGACTGTTATAGATAAGTTTAACTTGATAAAGTCTAAACTTTTAATGTAACATAAGCACTTCAATATACGATTTTGATATACTTGTACTTATAGAGGCGAATTTGGGGTTGGAAAAGGATGTATTCCTATAGGGAAGAACAATTTCCAGGAAAAAGTCACATTTAAAAATCAATGTTCATTAGTTATTTTCTACGTATATTGGTCTAAATTTTTCAAATTTTCATTTTAAACCTAAAATTTATCATTTGCAACTTTAGAATTAACCTCCAAAGTTATTTAAAACAGCAATGTTCTCCTTTGAAGCACCGATTTTCCATGAATGTTGGCCTAGAAGTCCTTCAGGGCAGGCTTGCTCCTAAATAAAATTATGATATTTTGATAGGTTGTGATCTAAGGAATAATTTAAGAATATTTTTTAGGCGCAAACCTGCCCTAGGGTCGAATTTCACAAAAAAAACTACAAAAATAAGGAAAAATGTTAATGTTTTTGTTAAACTGGTTCATAATGAAACCAACTATTTTCATAGCCATATTAGCTCATATGGTATAACAGCTGACTATTAGCACAACGGGATACTTCTTTAGAGTCATGGTTTAATCTACCTGGTGCCACAATTTAATAGTTATAAATTCTCGCCTTTTCAAAGACTTTTTAAATTTTTTTACATGGCTTTATGTATTTTCTTTATTTATCTTTTTTTTGCATGTTTATTCTTGTTATAAAAAAGCACTAAATAGAAAGCAAATAGTAAATTCTTTTGTACCTAAAACACAGTCAAGCGGGAGTATACCTCAGAATGGCACACAAAAATTATTAACTGTGTTATTCGATACAGGTATTATCGTCTGCAATTAGCTGCGATGATTTACATGTACATTGTATATAAATGCCTTAGAATTAAATCAAATCAGTGTATTTCAGTGCTTTTATTTCTTCTTTTTTTTCTTGTACTTGTCTGCATTGCTTATTGCGATGGAAAGTATGTATATGTATTGCTTGTATTATTTGAGCCCAGTATAATTACAGTTGAATTATATAAATGTACTTTTGTAGTCATTGTTCTAAATTCAGATTTCAAGTTTTGGAAGAGTGGGGCTACATATCAGTAACTGCAATCCCTTGGATTTCTTTTATATCATATGTCTAAATTAATGGCAACGTTTTTATTATATCCACGGAAGGATGTTGTAAAATAACTCAAGAAAAATATTCATACTATAGACATTACCATTATGTACAGTGAAACGTAAAGAAAAAAATCAAATAGCATTTCGAGATAACAAACTCAAAATGCATTGGAAATATCATGATTCATAGTTAATATCTATGTAAAAGGTTCCTCCTATCTCTACATTTTGAAGTAAATATTTATGAAACACAAATTAGTACATACATGTATAGCCTAATTCGGTAATCGACAAGTTTTTTTTGTAAAGATTAAAACCAATCCCGGCCCAATAGGTCCAAGCTCGATTTATAAAGAAGTGTTCCAGTAAAGTGATTTTAATTGATGTAATCCACTCGGAGTCGATAAACATATGATTTTCAGGAGAAAAAATAAAGTCGTTCGACATCAGATGAAAGCAGCTTTTTTTTTTTACGGTATCCATAACCTATATGTATGAAGAATAATATCTTCGACCTTTTTAACCTCCCCCTCTTCCGAGGCCAATTCCAATTATTAGTATTCAATAATTTAGTATACTTTTTAATCTGTGGTTAGGTTTACTGAAACATCTGTCATTTCTACCAAGAAAACGTTTGGAAAAAAAACCCTTCAGTACAGATTTTATACATGTACTTTGAAAAGTTTGGTAATCTATGCGTAGTAAATAACGATTCACACTGTCTGATTGGAGATCAACACCTTTCATCATAACTAATGCGCTAAGTAAATCTTTTTATAGTAATTATAGGTATTTTCAATTTAAACCTGGTAAAAAGCGAAATACTGGAAAAGGGCCCTATGCCTCTTGTGCAATATTTACCAATATAGCATTGTCAGATTGCTTAATATTTCTTTTCTATAAATGAAATGTTTCGTAAAGATTAAGAAAAATAACTATCTTCTACACTCTTCTTGACATGTTTTATCATATATTTATATTATGTGAAAAAAGGTAAATATATTCTTTATATGTACTTTGATCAGACTTTCGGAATCGATTGATGCATAAATCGATTCTTTAGAGCCGTTTTTCAATAATCTGTTCTCCATTTCTGGGTGTCTTTCACGAATTTGAATTGCATTTTGTATGTGTTTCTCATCGTTAAATTTCACCCCATTTTTTACCGCTGTGTATATATTTTTGTAAAGCTTCTGATTGACCATAAGTATGTCTCCAACCTAATATTTCCCTTAACATTAAATTATGCTGAGATGAAAAGATGATAAGTTTCATAGAAATATTTCAAAAATAGAAATATTACCACCATCCTCCCTCCAAATACGACGATGACTCGTTTTGCTGTGAAAATTATCACAATTCATAAATATATAATTTCAATTTCAAGTCTCAATATACCTTAGAGAATTGTAATCGTAGACTTAAGTTGAGGGTCAAAATAAGGGACATGTCTGAGAGAGAGAGAGAGAGAGAGAGAGATCATTATCATCTATATAACACAGACATGTACGTGGCAATCTCAGCACTCTACACACGGAATCTGGTAAACAACATCGGAGAATTTCAAAACAACAAATAAGCTTTACTCTCCGCCACCAAGTGACGACTGTTTATAATTATGTTGCTTGTTTGGGTCTTCGTTTTTGTTTCCGGGTTTGTCTGGCTGGCCGATGGGTCTTGTTTCTTTATGCAGCAACCTCCGAGAAATTTAAACGGTAACGTTTCTTATTGTTGTGGAATATATATATTTTTTTATTGAGAATGACAATCAGAATTCTTTGTTTATTATATGAACTGTTTGACGTTAGTTTACTTTGCTTTTTTCTCATTTTCACCTAAAGGCTGCGTAGATAAAACAGGTCAAGTGATTGGCTTTAATGAAACAAGGTTCGACTACGACGAGTGTTTTTATTGTTACTGTGGACGTGGCGCATTACATTGTTGTGGGTAAGTGATTGTAAACAAAGAACTTCGTGCATGGCCTGGAAATCAGCATCATTACCAGTACTTATGAATATATCAAAATGTTAATCTTCTTAATCCACATATTTTATATTTTCATACTGAATTTTTAAATAGCTTTTCTTTTTCATAATACTATAACATGCCCAAAACACATACTTCACAGACACTACAACTCTGAAACAGGGATGTAGACATGTACGTTGTTTACATTCAATTTAGTGTACATCAACACCACGCGATCTAGATTCAAATCCAAAAGAAGGAGAATTTTTCATATTTAACTGGTTTATAATTAACTTATAAAACATTCACCATTTATTTCGGTTTATAATTGATAACATCTCTAAATCTTCATACACATTGTTTCCTAATATTGGCATAGTAAGAAAGATCTTTGAGAATCATTACCTTATGCAGCTTATATTAATGGAATAAATCATTTTTAATTTTGTTTGTTTTAATATACATGTATTATATTTTATTATATCGATACAATTTCTTTTAACTAAGGAGACCATTTTGTTTTTCATACAAATTGTTAGGCCATTATTTTCGTACTGAATTGTCTACGGATTTTTCCAGTTGCCCGATCATGACAAGGAGCACACAGCGGATGTGACCAGTAATGAAATATGAAGATAATGAAGAGTAATCAAGCTCAAAAGTCCATCGCAACTATAAAATTTTTTAGCAGAACAAACACAGGCCTCTAAAAAATCAGAGATTGGGACAGATGCAATGGAGAAGGAAGTAACCCCTGTTGACCTGTCACACCCGCCGTGTACTATTTGTCTTGACTGGATGAACGGAAAACTCGGTAGACAATTCTGAGTGAAAACAAAGGTCTAACAATTAGTATGAAAAACGTCAGTCAACATTCGACTTACCGATAGATTGTATTTGCTAACAAGGTCAAAGTATCGACCATAGAATTTACGAAATGTGACTTAAAACCTATACTGTTCATATCCTTGTATCATCAACTTATTTGTCATTAGCTTGCATCGTTTTAAGAAATTGTTTGTACGTGGAACAAGCTATTGCGTATTGAGTCAACTTGGAGACATAAACTCTATATGCAGGTGATTATGGTATATTGCTACATAAATAAGGGAGGTTGACGATAGAAAAGCTGAAATCATCAACTTGTCAGAAAGTCTTTTTTGTGAGTTTCCCATTAATGTCTTTCTCTATGTGAAACAGATGTGTCAGACTCTGTGGTATCTTTTATTTCGAGTTCAAAGGGATATATCGAATCAACGTAGAAATGAAAATAAATATTGCTAATTGATAAAACTTTGTCGATATAAATCTAAATGTCGAATTGAAGGGCATAGCAAGACTTCGTCTTTTAATCATGTAGAAGCTTTTGAATAAAAATTCTGTTTCATATGAATACAATAATAGGTTTACTAATAACGGGACGCAATTGATACCCAGTTGTCTATGATGTATCGTCTGACCTTAATGAAGAATAATGAAACAGCTCTTACATATTTGTAAATGCATGTAAATTGGGGGACAGTTATGAGCGTAATTTAAAGATGTTTCTTTCTGATATTAATATCAATCATTTTAAAATTGTATTGATTGTTTGCAAAAACTCTCATAATTAAAATTTGTTGCAAGCTCTCTTTGTTCTTAGCTTTATTGGTCAGAGACCAGACTACAGATTTAGTCTGATTTCAATGTAACTTGGCACACAAGTAGACTACACTTAGATACATAATTCTGTGTATCGGTTTTTGATTTTGATGAACGGCGTTGCCATGGTTACTAAAAATAGAAAGACCGAGTGCACTTATGGGCCCCGGTAAAATGTGAAAAAATGAAGAATCAAATTAAGCATAATTTTTCATCTCAGATCATTAATTGATATCTAAACCATAAGATTCAATAAATTTAATCGGTGAAATTCATGAATATACAAAGAGCAAAGCCATACAATGTGGTAGGGGTCAGCCGACATTTGTGATTTTCTATAGTAAATCGAGGACGGTCATTCATTTCAAAGCTTTTGTTTACTGTCAGCCTAACGTTGTACAAACTTGTGCAAATGACAAAAAACGCATTATACAATTTATAAAATTTATAAAACTTGTGTGAACGTAGGGAATTTGTACAAGATTAGGCTTGTACTTAAAATGTTAAAAATGTATGAAAAGTTCAATGTTTTCCTATAGCAAGCTCACTGTAAAAGATAACCACATTTTGTATCATTTTATCGAAGTTGTGCCGCATAGAGAAGTTTGTATGTATTTGGTTTTATGAACACGGGAGGATTAGCAGAGTTTAGTGTCGTTAAAATGTCATCATACAGAAAAGCGTCAAACATTTTTAACATTTATGCAAGACAATTGTACCGGTATTGAAAGCCACCTAAATAAATTTTTTTTTTCATTTTAAAATTTAAAGGAACTAAAGTTAATGCTTATTGTATTATTTCAAATGCATGCGTGCAAATTTCTTAGTTTGATCACTATGGCTACAGGCATCTATACAACTTCATTCGATTTTTTTTCTCAGGTAAAATAGCGCAAGAAGTATCATTCGGAAAACGCACCATCAGATTATTCCAGTGTCCGATTTAAATGTCTTCTCCCCTTGATTTAAAAAAACGAAACTCAAAATACTAGTAGGTTCGGTACGACTTTTCCCGATTTGGGGTATCTATAGGCATTTAAAAATCTTCATTTGTTTCAAATCCATGCTGATTTAGGTGATGTTTTAACGTGATTTTAATTAGAAATATCCACTTGTGTTTAATTATTACCAAAAAAGAACAATTTGGTAATATATTCTAAAGTAAAACTGCACTGAAAAAGGGCCCATTAAGCATTGCTTAAAGCAATATGAGCTGCAACCTTGATGTCAGAAATATTTGTTGAAAAATTGTGATTAAATATTTCAATGACAGAAAAAAAGAACGTTTTTAAACTTCTGTTGTTTATATTTGCGATGGAAGAACTACTTATAAGCTTTGATTGAAGCAAAATTACAAAGTTGTCGTCCTGTACAATATTGATTTCTTATATAACACTATATATATTTTATTGTACAGAATCCTTTATTCTGAAACATGTGATACTTTATTTCTGTCTAATTGGTTTAAATTACATACAAATTTATCATAATATCACATTTTAACAGCAAAATAACATTCTCAAAAATGCAGCTCATATTGCTTTAAGTGCACTTGTGCTTTCCTTGAAATACTTTCAAAACGCTACTCCTCCTACAGTTTTGATTTGATTTCATTGTAACTTTGCACACAAGTAGACTAGACTATCATACATAATTCTGTGCATCGGTTTTGAATTTCGATGAACGGTATTGCCATGGTTACTAAAAATAGAAATTTCTGCGAAACTCTTTTAAAACCCTATACCTCCTACAGTTTTGGTCTGTTTTCAGTATAACTTGGCACACAAGTAGATTACACTGAGATACATAATTCAGTGTATCGGTTTTTGATTTCGATGAATGGTGTTGCCATTGTTACTAAAAATAGAAATTTCCTTGAAATACTTTCTAAATGCTACTCCTCCTACAGTTTTGATCTGATTTCAGTATAACTTGGGACACAACTAGCTAGACTACACTATCATAAAAAATTGTCTTTATTGATTTTTAGCTCTACTGGTTAGAGACCAGAAGAGCTAATGCGATAGTAATGTGTCCGTCGTCCGTCCGTCTGTCTGTCTGTCCGTCTGTAAACAATTTTTCAAAACGTTACTCCTCCTACAGTTTTAGTTTGATTTCAATATAACTTGGCACACAAGTAGACTACACTTAGATTCTTAATTCTGTGCATCGGTTTTTGATTTCAATGAACGGTGTTGCCATGGTTACTTAAAATAGATATTTCTGAGAAGTACTTTCAAAACGGTACTCTTCCTGCAGTTTTGGTCTGATTTCAATATAACTTGGCACACAAGTAGACTACACTTAGATAGTTAATTCTGTGTATCGGTTTTTGATTTCGATGAACGGCGTTGCCATGGTTACTTAAAATAGATATTTCTGAGAAGTACTTTCAAAACGGTACTCCTCCTGCAGTTTTGGTCTGATTTCAATATAACTTGGCACACAAGTAGACTACACTTAGATAGTTAATTCTGTATATCGGTTTTTGATTTCGATGAACGGCGTTGCCATGGTTACTTAAAATAGAGATTTCTGGGAAGTACTTTCAAAACCCTACTCCTCCTACAGTTTTGGTCTGTTTTCAGTATAACTTGGCCCACAAGTAGACTACACTGAGATACATAATTCTGTATATCGGTTTTTGATTTTGATGAACGGTGTTACTAAAAATAGAAATTTCCTCTAAATACTTTCAAAACCCTACTCCTCCTACAGTTTTGATCTGATTTCAGTATAACTTGGCACACAAGTAGACTACATCAAGATACAAAATTGTCTTTATTGTTTGCCATAGTTACTAAAATAGAAATTTCTGTAAAATTCTTTTAAAAGGCTTCTCCTCCTACAGTTTTAGTCTGATTGCAATAAATCTTGCTACAAAAGAGACTACACCAAGGATAATTATACTATATATTGCTGTTGTAAAGTTTCAAGTTCAAGTGCTACTTTTATCTTCCATTATTATAAGTACAAACCAGTAGAGGTTTCTGGTTTATAAGTTACGCTTTAATTGTTTAACAATCACGGGTCACTGACAAGACACATTCAAATGACCTCAAGTAAGAATCCAATAACGGGTATATGTACTAGCAGCATGGAAAGAAAGGATAAATGCGAGCTTTTGATATTCTGATTATAGATGAAATGACTACAGTAAATATTAAATTTGAAATCAAATACACTTGTTACATACATTATTTATCACTACGTAAATGTTAACGATTCAATAATTCGTTGTATAATGGTGATAGCGTAGATTAAATATTGTACAAGCTAACAGTCTATTAAAGACAGATAGGAAAATTGACATGAAAAATTAGAATATAAATTTCAACGAGTACTCGACTATCGTTCGACTAAATTCTCCGACTTCGACTAAGCTGTCCGAATAAAATGGACATCCCTAATATTTATAAATATATATATATATATTAATGATTTTTGAAAAAATTCTTCCTAAGAAAGGTAACTATGAGTAAAAGTTGGATTACCACTTGCAGAATTAAAGCCAAGTTCCTCTAAAATATACATTTATAATACTGAGTCTTGCAAACTAAGTCAATGTCATTACTTGCTAAGGGCCCTGTCACACCAAGCTGCGTCCACACGGAGTCATTACGGCGTTGTAAAAATGTTAAAATCGCAGTGAAATCGCAGGGAAATCGCACAAATTTCTGTAAAATTTTTACAATGTGAAGATGTCAAGGCGTCCCTACGGCGACCCACGCGTGTCTACGGCGTTCTCGCGGCGTGCTACTGCGTTCCCAACGGAGATCTCTTCGCGATTGACTGCGCTTCCGCAGAGCTTTTACGGCGTGTTAGGAGTTGTCACCTAGCGTTCACGGCGTTCTCACTGCGCTTGCTGCGTTCACAATACGTCCACGCTGCGTTCTTCACTATGGATATATATTCAGAAGGAGTGTAACACATTTTTTTCAACGATTCGAGTCACATAACGAAAAGACTTCAAAAATGATATATTTGAATAATTTAGTACTAAATTACTGTTAGTTTTATAATTAAAACCCTTCTTTTTCAATTATATCAATTCAGATGTGTTTTTCTTTGATTTTATTATGAATGTAAAAAATAAACACACTGAAAAGTTGTTATAAAATTTAAGTAATTCCATCGCAACTCCACTGAAACAACAGAACAGGCTCTGGTGTAATTTTTACTTCCCAATTCTACTCCCATGCTCCTGGCCAGGAGTGCAACAAATACGTTAGAATTATTGCTGATCAAATATGAGGCCATTGCTCTTGTTTTGTGAGCTGGCTGACAACGCTCTAACAACGCCGTGAAAGCGCATTGTGATCGCCAACGTAAGCGGTAGAAACGCCAAGGGAGCGCAATGATCGCAGTGACAACTCCTTGTTGTCGCTGTGTAATCGTAGTCAAAAAAATCACAAGACAATTAATCTCATTAGAAGCGCCGTAAAAGCGCGATAGAAACGCCGTGACATCTCCAAGGACTCCGCGAGGTCTCCGTGGAAGCGCAGTCTACTATCACTGCGTTCATGCTGCGATCATGTGCGTCTTCACGGCGTGCGTACGGAGCTCCCACTGCGTTGTTGGAGATCTCACCGCGCTGCTACGGCGATCATACTACGTTTCTACTGCGTTCTTATCAGACGGCGATCACACGGCGCGTACTTTGTGCATGCCCAAAGTGCGCGCCGTCCCCTGGCGTTCTAGGAGACCCTACTCGACCCTACCGCGTTCAGTGGAGATCTCGCCGCGTTGTCACGGCGCTGTAGGAGACTCTACTGCGCTCACCTCGGCGTTTTGCATTTTTTATGGACGCCGTGCGATCGCCGTGAGGACGCAGTCCCGGTGTGACAGGGGTTTAAGATGTACCGACAATTTTTTCTGTAACGAAAAACTAAGATTTGAAAACTTAAATATGAAACAAAATGTTAAATACGAACTTTTTCAATGAAGAACTCTAATTAATTTAATTGATTCAATTTTAGGCTTGGCTACAACGCGGGAGTCATGGAAAGAGAAGGATGTACGTTGAAGAGACTTGCTCGCTGTGATTTTATGTTTGTCAGTAAAGAAGATGGCGTGTCAGAATGTACGCATTAGATGGTTACATAAAAATGGACTAGAACTTTGTAAGAACGGAGTAGTATAAATTCAAATCTCATTCATACACTCATTAAAGAAAATGATAAAGTAATTTTGGTTTTACTTTTAATGTTTTTCTCAACAAGTGCAACATGTTTTCACAATATTTTTAAATTACGAGCGAATAATCTATCGGGCGCCAAAATAACATCGTTCAAATAATTTAATTAATACGAGCAATAATTAAATTACAGCTCTCTTCAATTGAAAATATTGCTCGCATCAATTCTATTGATGCACGCAACAAATCTTTCACAGAGAGCAACTATTTTATGTGATATCAACCATTATGTATGTGATGATCTCTTTGATTAAATTCTTGATCTTAATGTGATCACTTTGTTGTAAAATAGTTGAAGAAATTATAAAGATTAACAAATCATTTAAACTAAGGTCCATCACGTTATTGCTCTCATCAATTGAATTGATGTGAGCTTTTGTTAAATGAATGAGAGCAGTAGTTGATTAATAATGGAATTGATTAGATCTTTAAATAATTAAAGATATCTTCAATTATTTGAGTTTATGTAAATTTGGCCTTAAAAATATACTTTAAATTTTTAATCTCTATTTAAAACTTAAGGGCATAATTAAAGAAAAAAAAAAGATTGAAACGGGTACTTTAGGGAAAAGGTTCTTTCGATGGATGACCTAATATTGGAGCTTGCCACAATTTATCTAGTTATACTAAGTGGGTGTTTGACACTGTTGGCTTACCATGAATAAGTTGTATAGCATTGATCCTGTAAAGTATTGTGCCTAACTGTCTAGGGACTAATCATGGATAGGTCAGTTTCTTAGATTTTTGTCGTGTCTATTCAAGATGCTATTTGTCCTCATAATAAGGACAACAAGGTATCTTCTATTGTCGGAGGCTGACCACCAGTGTAAGATAGGGTTCGCCATCATAGCAGACACTACACATCTACATAAAGTAAAATCCTACACATCTGCATAAGGTAAAAACCAGTGTCTGTCTGATAACATTATTAGTGAAATTCCAATTTATTTGAAAATAATATGTACACCATAAAGTGTGATTTGAGTAAGGATAGGGCCATCTGAAGGCCAATTATTTTGTATAAATAGGAAACGTTTCTAATTATTTGAAATCGCCAGGATCCACAGACCCCCTTGACGTTACAAAAAGAGTGACAATAACGAACAACAATCAGAATACAAAATACTCTGATCGTCATTTGGACAACGAACCATCATTATAAAATTAGCTGGTAAGTATATATGCATGTGGAAATTCAAAATTATTTATAAAGAGGGGCATATTTTTTTGCAACTCTACAAAACAAACATGATAACAAATAACAAATACGTATGGCAAAGATTATTTGAATAGTATGAAAGTTTATTGCTGGGATCAGAGACAACATTCTTCAGGAGCCGATAGAGAATTTTGTTTTGTTTGTTTGTTTGTTGTTTAAGTCCCTCTCGAGAATTTTTCACTCATATGGAGACGCCAACACTTGCCGGTGGAGAGCAGCAAATTTTGTCCTAAACTCGGCACTTACGGCCATTGAGCAGTGAGGGATCTTTTTCGTGCCAACACCTACTGCGACATGGGACCTCGGTTTGCACGGTCTCATCCGAAGGACCGGTCTCCACGTCCCACAGTGGGATTCGAACCCGCGACGTAAGGATCAACTGAGAATTTTGTCATTTGTCAATTATACAGGTAAGATGCTTTGTCTATTTTTTTTATTTGACTAATTTTTAAACGTTTTTAATATCATGAAACTTAAAATCTCATTTATATTATTAAATATTGGAATTAACATAATTATATCATAGTGTATTAATAATATTATGTTTTTGTTGTTTCAGTCTAATTATTGGATTAAAAGGGATCTTAATTTTAATTTTTTTTTCAATAGAGTTATTAACTAAATCTTTTATTTGCAGTGAATTCGTATAAGAAGTCATAATTATTCAATATAAAACGAAAAAAAAGCTTTAAATTTATTCAGCAAATGATATCAAATTTGAAATAATCTAACATTTCGACAAAGCATGAAGAAATTATGCCACACTACCTACATCGTCTTAATTCAGTAGGAGTTTTAATAAGATGTTGGACAGAACAATACTAAATTATACACTAATTATATACTACTGCAATCATATCATAGGCGCATTGTTTTGTCCGCAGGTACTACACACCATATGGTATATTGTATTTAATATAATGATTTACGTTTTTTTCTCAAATATTTTTCTTTTAGTAAAGATTATTCATACATTTTATAATGTTCCTAATACTTATATAAAAAAAACCTTTCATATGGGCTTCACAATTATGATTTTCCTTTTACTAGTTAACTTTTTGACATTAGCTTATTCTCGATCTCATTATTCGCATGATTTGCATTTGATTTGCATACCTTTGTCTATAATGCATTACATATAATATCCTTTTATTTCATTAGATTTTCAGTTTATAATGATCTGGTCTCTCTGTCAATGAAGGTACAAGTGTGAAAGTGGTCCGTTTTTATACTGTTCAAAAACATTTTCGAAACGGGGGTGGGGGTAATTTTCGTTGGTTTTGTGGTATGAAAACACCCACAAATCATATACCCTTACAAATGTTAAATTTGCAATCTTCACTATCATGTTCATCTTTTCAACAAAGAAATCAATTCCTCACGATTCATTTTTTTCTGAAACCACGGAAATTTGATCCTGCTAAACTGTGATATAAAATCTGGAGATAACAAACAGTGATCACTCTCTAAAATCCAGTAAACAAAATGAATCCTGATCAGGGTAAAAACGTACCTCTGGAAACAACAGAGGTGGGATCAGGTGCCTAGGAGAATTAAGCAGCCCGCAATGAGTCCTGTGTATTAATTGATCAGGTAAACGGAGTTCTCCTTAGTAAAATTTCGTACAAAGCAATGACCTAACAAATCTTAGAAACATGTCAATTTGAGAATAGATACGTTACATTATGTTACATTTCAATTATGGAGGGAATAGATGATTTTAGCATGAATAAGATTGAAGAACGTTGGGTGGACTTCATACAGGACGAGTAACATCAGTCGTCTATCATCATTGCTTTTATATCTCATCATTTTCTGTTAAATTTTCGAAATGAACTGAATCTGTATTAAATTTTATTCTATTTGTTTTCATTTTGATATCGGTAAAGATGTGTGAAGTACCGTTAAAGTGTGTTGGATTCTAGCTGTTTTAGAAGGAGTATAGAAGTGATCAGTCAGGTTAGAGTAGTCAGATTAGGGAGCGGTAACAACATCAGCCGGATGAAGCGATAACAACATCAGCCGTGTGACACATTCTATTGTTGGTGAATATTTCAGTTCAATGGGTACATGTAGCCATTCGAATAAGAAGGATTATTTGACGGGCATATAATTATATTTTCCCTTTCTCCCTAGCCAGTAAATGTTTTTGTTTTTCAATACAGTAATTTCAGTGTGTGAGGTGTGTTTGGGCACATTTTCTCAATGGGGACAATGCAGTCACGAGAGACGATAGCCAACATTACAGAGGGTCATAAGGTATTGAATAGTGGACGTTTTGAAGTGGACGGACGTAATACGCTCATATCGACAGAGAGTAGAAGACCATTGAATCTCTGTCTTACGATTGGAGATTTGCGTCCTGTGGAAGAGGGAAAAATGACCACATGCTTGTTTTATCAAAAGGGGTGGATAAGCAAGTGGTAGCAAAAACAATGATGAACTTCTTTCAGTGTCACTAGTTAAATATGTGAATAAAGTGCATATTTGAAATAACTTTAGAAAAGAATTTCAAAACAATTTAATCGAAATCAAATACAGTTAATTCATTGAAATCGAACCCTTCTCTTTTTGGTTCTATCGTGAAGTTACATTATATCTGATTCTGTAGTACAAAGACTTCAATAATGAAAAAGGTGAAGATAACGAACAGTGATCTATCTCAAAAATATCTACAAACAATGCAAATCAGTAATTATGTCATGAGACACGGACCCCTGGAACTTCCAAAGATGGGATCAGGTGCTTAGGGAGATGGGGGGACCATTCCCTGTTGACCGGTCACACCCGCTGTGAACCCTATGTATTGAACAGGTACACGGAATATTCCGTAGTCAAATTTAGTATAAAATCAAAAGCCTTAACAATTCTTTTTGAAAAAGTCAGTCAAAATAAGACCCAGTGATAGATTATATTTGCTAACAAGGTCATTATTACGACAATTTCTGACTACAAACGAGACTGTTGAAAACCCTGTAACGACAACTTATCTGTCAATAACCTGCTTTGGTTTAAAAATTCATCGTACTCAGAGAATGCTCCTGAGTAGCGAATAACACTATATGCAGTGGTATGCATATGACGTATGATAGCAGAATATTACGGTAAAGTCATCTCGTTTCTCATACAATTAAATATGGAGAAAATAAACAATAATCAAGCTCAAAAGTCTATTGAAACAATATAAAGTGGGAGCAGAACAAACAAGGACCTTTAAAAACATCAGATTTGGGCTCAGGTGCCATGGAAAAGTAAGCATCCCCTGTTGACCGGTCACACCCACCGTGTGCTCTTTTTCATGAAAACGGAAATTCTGCAGACAATTCAGTGTGTAAATAATGGCCTAACAATTAGTATGGAAAACGTCAGTCAGCATTCAACTTAATGATAGATGTTATTTTCTGACAAGGTCATTGTATCGACTTTAGGATTTGCAGAATGTTGACTTTAAACTAGACTGTTGATATCCTTGTTTCATCAACTTAATTGTCAATGGCTTGCCTCGTTATAGAAATTGTACGTATGTAGAGCACGCCCTTGCGTATCGAATTAACAGGGAGGCATAAACTCCATATGCAGGTGGTAATGGTATATTGCTACATACATAAGGGAAGCTGACGATAGAAAAGTTGAAGTCATCACGTTTATCATAAAGTTTTGTTGTTGGTTACCATTAACGAATTTTTCTAGTAAAATATCCAAATATGAAACAGATGTGTCAGACTCCGTGGTATCTTTTATTACGAGTTCACTGGGATATATCTAGTCGATA